GTGAGACCCTGTCTCTCTCTCTCTCTTTTTTTTTTTTAAAAAAGAGTAAAGTCAGCTGGAGAATACTTGGGGATGAATTAAAGATGAGGGGGAATAGATGTGATGTTATAGCGGAATGCCCAGTCACTCAGAAGGGAGAGATGATATTCATAACATTAATACTGGGGGTGATGAAAGAACTTCAGCTCTGCAGGCATTAATTAATTAGTGCAACAAATGTTTCTTGACTTCTTACTCAGTGCCAAGCATATACCAGTGAGCAAGTTAGGCAAGTCACTGGGGAGGTAAGGAAAAACAACTAAAGAAAAAGAGAAGAAATTATAGACTGATCATTGCTAATAAGGAAATGGGAAAGGTGAGAGAGATTATAGAGAGAACCTCTTTAGTAGAGTTGTTAGGGAAAGCCTCTATGAGATGATCTGTGGGTTGTCTGAGATGAGAATGAAACAGCCAATTGAAGAATTAGGAGAAGAACGTAGGTGGAGAGCTCAGCTAGTAGAACAGCAGCAAGCAGAGGAAGGCTTGGTGGTTTTGAGAAATGAGAAGGAAGCCTGTTGGAACATTGTGAGCAAAGGGAGTTATATAATGGGACAAGTGGAGAGTTAGGCATCAGCTAAGTCATGTAGGGTCTCTAGGCTATGCTGGAGAATTGGATTTTGTTTAAAGAGCAGCAGGAAGTCACTGAAGGCTGTTAAGCAGGAGAAGAAAATAATCTGTTTCATGCTTTGAACATATCTCTCTGGGAATTGTGAGATGAATAGACTAGAGTGGAAGCTGAGAGGCCACTCAGGAAGCTATCAAAGTAAACCAGGTCAGAAAACATGGAGATGGGAACAAGAAGGTGGCAGTGAAGATGGATGTGGGGCTAGAACTGATATGACACGCTGGTGGGTGAGATATGGAAGGTGAGGCAGAGGGAGGCATCCCTGACGCTTGCTGAGTTTTCGAATTGAGCGGCTGGCTGGTGTTGCCATTAACCAAGACGGAGAAAAGCAAGGGTTGGAATGAGTTTTTGGGTAAGAGGGACAGCTGGCATACATGAGTGAAGAGGCTCTGGTGGTGAGTGTGGCAAACAGAGAGAGAGGCTGTTCACAGTAGTAGAGAGCATGGACTCTGGAGCCAGACTGTCTGACCTTGAATGTGATGTGAAAGCAGGCAATTTTTTTAACCTCTCATTGCCTCAGTTTCCTCCTCTGTAAAAACAAGGATAATAGTATCTACCTCATAGGGTTGTTGTGAGGGTTAAATTAGCTGATCGATATAAAGCTCTTCAAAGAGTGTGTGGCATGTCATATACCTGTATAAGTGGCACTTGAGTTTTGTTTTTATTACTATAAGAGGAGCGTCTGTTATTCAGGTTAGGTGGTTGCTGTCATTTGGAGAACCCTGTCCAAAGCTGTTAGATCTTACGATTTTTCAAGAATATCTGGAACTATGTATTTTATATGTGTGAAATTCCTCAGTTTTAAGGACTCTCAAGCCAAATACAGTGTGTTTGTGATTGCCAGTTAGACTGATTTAGCCCAGTTGTGTGGTGTTTTTCTATGGTACTGTTTAGCTCCTTGGGTACAGGAAGGGAGAAAGCAGATAGCTGGGGTTAGTTGAGAGTAGAGAATCAAAGGTAAAATCTTCAAGGTCTTTTGCTGGTTGAGTATCAGAGTAAGAGGTTTGTTTAGGATTTGCAAGGTTAAGTGATAATGACAGGCCATGGCAATTAGGTTGCTAGAGAAGGGAGTAAACAGTGGGAGGACAATGAATGGTGACACGTGGTCACAGCTTTGGGTTGGAGATCTTAGTGAAATTGAAGAGTTGTTGAAATGGGGTTTTTACCGTAAGTAGACAAAAGACTGCCATCGGAAAGTGCGATATTTGAATTTTTTTTTTTTAAGTGGTGTCATTAGTAGTGCTGACGGGATCCAGGCTGTGAACATGGGAGAGAGTAGGTGGGGTAGGAGAGCAAATTGTAGTTAGAGTGACAAGCTGGGGTTGCTTGGTCTTCAACATGGATGTGAAGTCCCAAAAATATATATGGGAGTAAGGATAGAGAGGAAGGCAGTGAGCTGCTAGTCAAAATGTTAGTGAATTGGAGCTTTGACCCACCTGTAAGTTTGAGGATGACAGCACCAAGGAGGTGCTAATGATATGAACTGCAAAGGATCTGGGATTTTTGAAAGAGATTGGAGGAAAAAATACTTTTAAAGCCATGATGGGAAAGCAAAGAGCCCTTCCTCACCTGGTCCCTGAGATATATGGGTTATGAGAGATAAAATAGACACCCTTTGAGAGCACTCAGGGAAGCAATAACATCAGGGAACAGCCAGGTTTTGATTAAGGGGAAGAATCAGGAGCATCCGGAGAAGAGATGGAGGCTATGGGATTCTCACTGATCAAGTTCCAGGCCTAGGGAAGTGCTTTAGGAAGAAGATGGGAGATGGGCAATTGGGTCAGATTAGGGGATGGCTATAGAAATGAAAGCCGGCCGGGCACGGTGGCTCACACCTGTAATCCCAGCACTTTGGGAGGCCAAGGTGGGCGGATCATGAGGTCAGGAGATTGAGACCATCCTGCCTAACATGGTGAAACCCCATCTCTACTAAAAATACAAAAAATTAGCCGGGCGTGGTGTTGGGCGCCTGTAGTCCCAGCTACTTGGGAGGCTGAGGCAGGAGAATGGCGTGAACCCAGGAGGCGGAGCTTGCAGTGAGCTGAGATCCGGCCACTGCACTCCAGCCTGGGAGACAGCGAGACTCCGTCTCAAAAAAATAGAAATGAAAGCCTTGGACTTTTGTAGGTGAGTAAGACAAGACATCTGTGGGAAGTATCCTTTGGTTAAAAGACCATTTGTTTTTGACAGACTTTACTGTCAGCTGCTTCTCTCAGGCTATAGGAACAACTCTGGTCTGCTGCGGAGCTCTGGGGAGTTTCTGCTTTCTTAGTGTGATCTGCATTCTCTCAAGGGCTGTGTTTCTGAGGTCCAGTTCTTCAGAGTTATGCTTCAGTCAAATTTACAAATGCTATTGTGGAACAAGGTTTCTCTTCTTCCTTGTGTCCTTTTGTATATATTGGGAAGTTTGGGATAGAGAGTCAAGGGTAAAATCTTCAAGGTCTTTTTAATACCTTTTCTTTTGAATAGAGCCTGGATGCAGCCTTGAGCAACCTGTCTCTTTTCCCTGGGCCCAGCCTAACCTGTCTGAGTGCCCTGCAATTAAAGACATTTTCAAAGCTAGAGGCATTCTCATCTCCGTACTTCTTCATTTGCTAACCATTCACTGAGCTACAAGGGATGATAGAAGAATAGGAATTGAAAGAAAAACTTAGGCCAGAGAAAAGCATCTGGAATCAGCAAATGAAATTGTTAAACATTTAATTTCAATGAACTGACTTTCGTTTGTTTGGAGTCTCTTCCCCTCATGAGACTGTCAGCTGTGTGACGGTAGAGACTGTCTGTTGTTAGTCTCCCTTTTACCCCATCACTTGACATGGTGCCTGCCATGCTATTTGTTAGGAAATATTTGTTGAGTGAGTGGATGAATATTTAGGATAAATGTAAGTTTTTTCCCTCCTTCCCTCAACAAGAAACAGCTGTCTAGAAGTGGATTTACTGTGACACTCTTAACAAGGGACTGGCCTTGGGGAGCTTTGCCAACCTTATCTCCTGGTCCCTCCCTCTTCTGTGCTAGGCAGAGTTATTGCACAATGGAGAAGAGTTAGTGAGTGCCCTCTTAACCACTTTTGCTAACACAGTGTCCTCTACTATACTTCTCATCTGATTTATTTGCAAATTTTGCTCTTCTGTAAAGGACTAGGTCAGACACCATCTCTGAAGCCTCTTCTGGTGCCCTCGCTATGAAAGTAAGCTGTACCTCTGGTTTATGTTTTCATTTAAAATAGGGACTGGGCTTAATCATTATCTTCCCCATCAGTGTGTCTCAGGGTCTTGAATATAGTCAGTACTCAATAATTAATTATGGAATTAAGGACTGAATGATCATTTGTAGTAGTCTATTTGAGTGTCTATTTGAGTAGTCTATTTGAATTACATTTGTAATTTAAACATGGTACAGCACAGAAGGAAATTATTTTCTGCTTTATTTTATGCCCTTGCCTGTTTTGTTAATTATGTATCTTTGAGTCTTTAAACGTTTTAGGGGGAAATGTTATTTAAAACACTTTCTGGAGATATCCTTTGAGTTTGGCTGTTAGAAAAATAACTGCTTCCATCCATGTGTTCCAGTGTCCTGAGACTACAGCTGGAACCTGGGGAGCGTTACAGCTTCCTGCAAGAGCCTGAAATACTGAACTGCTATTGAAGAGGCCCCCACCTGCACCCCTGTGTGTAAATAGAAGCAGACCCTGATTTGGTGCTGGAATAACATGAAGTTGAAGGCAGACTGGGTGGCCTGGCTGTTGGAGCCAGGATTCCAGTTTGCATTAAGAGCTGGTTATGGCCATTTTGAATTATTGACTCATTCAGCTCTGCAGAGGGGTCAGAGTAAAAAATAATGCATCCAGTTTCTTAAGGCTCAGTATCTAGGTTGGAAATCAACCGGTATCACTTTGAAAATTGTCACAGAAACAAGCAATTGTGGAAAGGTCTTGGAACTGGGAGAAAAGAAAAAAAAAGGCCTTTATATAGTGAGGCACAATCCCCAGGTAATCTGGTTGTAAAGTCAAGGTTTAAATTTGAAGACTAGCATATAGGGGCACCTAAAAGTCTAATAGTTGCCACTTTCCCACTCTATGCCAGGCTCTCTTGTTCCTTACCTTTGCTTGTTCACACCAAGGTGCCAGTCTAAGCTTTCTGTTTTTGATGGAACCCTCTATTTCAGATATCAACATAAATTGTGTTTCCTGCATTTAATGAACAGTTCTTATACCTCTAACTTGTTTTCTCAATTGAACTGTTTAATTTTAAAACTTTTTATTGGAGAATAACATACATATGGAAAAATCATAAATATATAGCTAGATTTTCACAAGCTTTATTTTTTGTTTTAAAGGGTGTATTGAGAATTAATCCAAAGAAGTTTCATGAAGCCTTCATTCCTTCCCCGGTAAGTTCAATAAATTTATAATAAACTTAATGTCACATTTCATTTTTTAGATGTGCTCTGAAACTGAAATCATATATTCTAACTAAAAAGCAGAGTAGTGAAGCAAAATTGAGGATGGGCAAAGGTTTGTTTCAAATTTAAATAAACAAAATTTTCTTTTGGTTAACAACCCCTTCTGCCAGTCTTAAAATCGCATGCCAAATGAAAGGGATGGCATTTGTTACAAGGCTGCAAAGAGCAGCTGGACCCAGGCAGACTACCCACCAGTTTGTGTAATTGAACGCCCTTGGTTTATGGCTTAAAAGGATTTATGATTTTTTTCCACTGATTTAAGTTAATCTTTCCTAAACAAATATGCTATCTACTATGGATCTATTGCATGAGCTAATCTGAACATTTGTCCAAAAATAATGTGTAATGCTTTTTTTTGCGGGGGGTCAGAGTTTCTCACTTCACTTTCGTGCAGGTGATAGAGCTTCATACAAGGCTCTTTACCGTTGGGTCCTTTAGATCCTTTCTTACATTTATGACTCATTTTAAGAGGCTCTTTCCACTTAAATCAAGTTCACACTGACATATAGTTACCAGCAGTTCTCTAGAGAAGGTTTGATTGAGCAAAACTAGGAGAGCAATATTCTTAAATTCCTGACCTAACTTTTCCAGGATACCATAAATAGAATAGCTATAGAATCATAGATTTTTCACAGTGAAAGAGGCCAAACTTATGCTTATAGATGACGAAATGGAATACATATATTTTAATTAACATATTTTATTATTTTAAATGACAGTAAGTTTAGTGAGAATATAGGTTCAGTTATGTACTTTATAAATGTTATTCCAGATTGAGCACCCCTTATTTGAAACACTTGGGACCAGAAGTATTTTGGATTTAGAATTTTTTTTTTTTTATTTTGGAATATTTACATTACATACTTACACTGAAATCCAAAATGCTCCAGTGAGCATTTTCTTTGAGTGTCAGGTCAGTGCCCAAAAGTTTTATATTTTGGAACATTTCAGATTTTATATGCTCAAGTGATATTATTGTTATTGTTACAATAACCTTATGACCTACTGTCAAGCTCAGTTTAGTCCTTTTCCCCTGCCTTTGAAATCCAGGGACTCGCATTGCATCCAAGTTCAAGTCTTACCCATTGAATCAGATAAAAGGTATCACTGGCATTCACATTACTCTTTCTCAGTCATATTCTGTTCCCGTGAGAGAAAATGGCATATGTCTTGACCCTGGAACTTGAGTTGTAAAATTGGGTTGTAGAATTGAGGGTCAGCTTTGAGGTGGTAACTTGGCTGCAAGAGCAGTTCTCACATATACTAGAAGTGCAGTTTACATATGTATTCGTTTTCAGAGTTTGCTCATAAGGTTAAATTTACATCCAGGGATCATAAAAACTACCATGAAAATCTCTTAGGAAGGTGCTATGTTGGAGGCGGATAAACCATCTCTCAGTATGCCCTGCATAACCAATGTTTTTTTCCCATAAAGAAAGCATAACTGTTTCTTCAAGAATATACCAGTTGAAGGAACTTGATTGTATTAGGAGCCCTCATGTATGAAAGACACAGATTTTTAAGCATGAAAATATCACTCGATGTAGTTAGTTCATCTTAAGAGGCAGCTGGGAACTGGGTAGACTCAGACCTCTTGTCTCTTGTGCATGCTTAAGTTTGCTCCTGTTGATGGCAATGATAAGAGGAACTACAGCATTCTGAAAATTTTGCTGCTCCCTCTCTTGCCTGAATACATGGTATAGGATTTCCCTAAGTTAAATCCCTATTGGGCTGGCTCCTAGCAAGTGTGGGACCTAGGACAGAAGTAGAAGAGAAGGCACACATACCTTAAATCAAATATTGATAAGTTAGACCTCACACCCACCATCAAGTAAAATATATTATTCTATATATTCCTTGCCAAATACACCTTCATATACCTGAGTTCAAATGTAGAATTCTCAGATTTCTTGCAGCTCCATGCTGAAGCATGGCTCCACCTCTAGCTTGCCCCTCTTCCCTTCTCGGTGCTAGCTGCCTGTCCCCTTGTGACTCCCTTGCATTCAGTGAGGGCCCTTTCATGCACAAATGTGGGCATCCTGTCCCACATATCTAAGCTATGTCCATACCCATTAGAAATACCTGTTCTTTAGCCAGCCGCCATGTTGAGGGGGTGCCTCCGGTGATGGGGGAGTGCCTGTATATGTCCTGCAGGTAGGCTTGGGGCTGCTTATTTTAGGGAAGCATATCCATTTGGCCCTGTGAACTCCTTGTCTGATGGGGAGGGGTGTGGCTGGAGCAGGGCCAGAGCAGAGTTGCTATGGGCAAGCTAAATTCATGTAATTTACATCTGCAAATGATGTATCTCCATGGTTTAACCTGGCTTGTTAAAGAAAGCTAAGAAGCAAAAACAAAAGGTGGTGATGTTTTAAAAGCTCATAGTTGCTCTCCTACTTAAAATTGTATTCTTGCTATGTCATATTTAGAAATTTTTAGACAGTTGCGATATTAGGATTGGCTTATTTCTATGCTTCTTTTATTCTTTTATTTGGCTCCCGCTTGAGTAGTAATAGTGTCTCAGAGAGAGAAAAACAATTCACCTCTCGGTAATTAAGAATAGATCATAAGAGCTGCCAATCAAGGCCCGTTGCAAGTGATTGTAGACACTCTGGTTTTGGACACGGGAACAGTCCTACAGTCTTGCTTTGTGGGTTTCAGTTTTCAGAAGCATTATAGAAAGCAATTGAAAAGGGCAATAATAGAGGCAACAGATTACTCGTATATAAAGCCCATAACCAACTGTGGTCTAGATTTCTGAGTATACATAGCTCATATCCATGTCAAATATGAACTTGTATTAACTGGAAACTTGACTTAGGTTCATTATAACTTCTACTGATAGAAAGTTGATTTTCATTTTATGACAAATATAAAATATATGGGATGAAAAATGCCCACAGATAGACTGGGAAGTAGAATGTCAGAACCAGGGCCTAACTGTTACTGGCTTAAGCTAGGAGCATAAAGGCAGGAATGAATATGACAGAAGATGAGGCTTTTGCTCTGACAGTAGGACATACAGTGGCTTCCTCATTTGTAAAATGAGGGGATGGACTAAATGTTGTCGAATGTTCCTCACATTCTAAAGTTTTTAGAGAGACAAAAATAGAGATTTGATTAAATTATTTAGGTTTGCTCTTACTGACTCTAAAAGTGGTTGTGAATTTACACAATGTCATTTGCTATACTAAAATATCTCCCTGGGTCAACAGGTGAAGAACAGTGAATTAATCATCAGGTATAAAATAATACTTTGTTCTGGGGGAACTTGACTTAGGTTCATTATAATTTCTACTGACAGAAAGTTGGTTTTCAATTCATGACACATCTAAACTATACGAGATGGGTAACTTACGTGTACTTGCTAGTTTTGTGAGGTTCTCAATAAAAATGAAATACAGAATGTGAGTAAAGTCGTGACTTTCAAGCAAACCAAGATAAAATGATATTATTGACATGCCTTTTATCCTATTTGGGGATAGGATAAAGAGGAGAAAATTGATCAGATGGAAAAACCTGTCATTTTTAAAAAGCACAGTTTCTATTCTGAATTATGTAAATCTAAGAAGCTCTCTAACTTTTTAATGCATCTTGTCATAGGAGGCACCCTTTGTACAGCGATGGAATTTATTTTTGGTCCAAAGGGGACTGTTTCATCAATGAAGGATGCTATGACCATCATGGCATACTTGTGTTGTCTTCCTTCCTACAGTCCCCTAAGTCTTTAGTCTGACTACCTGTACCCTTCTCCCAGTTCCTTTATTTTTCCTCCAGGGATGTTCATTATCTATTTTTCTTTCTTTTTTTTTCTATTACCTATTATTCTTTCTGATGGGTAGAACAAGACTTCTGGCGTTCAAACAAAGAGCTGAAATATTTGGCCTTAAAAAGTGGTTAAAAGAGATGACTCGAACTTTTAATATTGAGCAGTTCCCAAGCTTAGTATCTTTAAAATAAGAGATTCAGCGACAGATCAGTCTTCTGAATGAATCAAGGAAGAGCTGAGTAGTGATGCAGTAGCTATAGATTTTTGTGTGGTCTGAGGTTCAACTGAGCCCTGCTTTCCTTAGTTTCCTGGGATTGTAAGGTGATGGTACTGTCATCCCATCAATCTGAAATCTCTGCGCTGCCAAAGGCTGGTTGTAGCTGCTTATAATAGAGGCATTTCATTGCATATGTTTGACACATGAGTATGGGTTAGGGTGACCTCCAAACAGCCCACTTTTCATTCCAAGGAGGTCTGAGAGATCCTGTTGCTTTTTGAATTGCAAAAGGCAGCAATAGATGGTGATGTGCCATATTTCAGTTGTTCACTCTCTGTTTACTGGCTGTCTCTTCCAGATCTCTCTGAGAAGCTTGTCAAGAGGTCAACTACAGTCATATTTTGTGGCTAACACAGTAGCTTTTCCTCGGGGACTAGGGTGGGGTCGGTTTTGGCAGAGTGTGCAGGCCACAGCTGTCAGCCCATAGCTAAACTGGAAATTGAGCAGAAAAACTGTTCTAGAAGATCTCTAATGGTTTGTAAGTGGAAACTGTAAAAATTGCTGAGCGACTAAAATCTACCCCCCCTGCCTTTTTGATTTGGTGATTTTGGGATATTAATTTTAACTTTAAAGTTTCATAGTAATCACCTTCAGTCCATTGAGTGTTATGTTAAATCTTATCTATGTCAGGTGTCCCTATTAGAAAAATTTGAGTGATGGTTTTCCAGACCCTTTTGCTGTCATCTCCTGTAAGAAAAAGTATTTTACTTCTTTCTTATTCTCTGAAAAAGAGCACATCATATAAACTTGTAGAGAATAGGATAAGAGTACATGTTTGTTGGTGAAACATTTTGAAAATATTTCATTTTCTCAGGAACCCTGACTGCTGCAGAAGGCCTGCATTTCCTTAGCTATTTTGTTTATTTAAAATTACAAAGTAATTTGGATTACTAAGAAGACTCTGGCACCTATTTAAGCCAAGAAGTTGACACTTGGGGAGTTAACTGGGGAGCCACATTATTTAAAGTGGTTTGTTTCTGAGTGAGTGAGGATGAAAGTGTCTGTACCTTGTGTTCATTGTCTGGAGTTCACAGTGGTCCTAAGTCGGCACAGTCGGTAGAGTGTGAAGATCATGTGATGAACCTCATATTACATCTCTTTCTTTCTCTTCTTTGCCCTCTGCTTAGGTCTTCATAAAAACAACCACAACTTACTCTCTCTGCCGCTTTCTTGGGGGGCATTATGAATTTGCTGGTTTCCTCCTAGAGAGCCCAAATCTTAGAACCATTGCTGCTCCTGCCCTCAGTTTGTTTTCTTGCGGGAGATTATATGTTGTTCCTCTTCTGTTCTCTTGCATACCTTCTATTTTTATACTTCCTTGATATGTTAAAAATTCATTTAGTATTAAAAAGGTATCAACATGCTTTGTTTAATACAAAAAAGGATAGCCTAAGAATAACTTGCTGTTTTCTATTTCAGTTATGAAAGCATGCAATCTGTTTTTTGCTTTATGCGTTTTTAAGCTCACTATTGTCTTATTTCTTTTTCCAACCTAGGATGGTGATCGAGACATTTTTATTGATGGGGTTGTTGCCCGTAATAGAGCCTTAAATGGGGATCTGGTGGTTGTGAAACTACTTCCCGAGGAGCAGTGGAAGGTGAGTTAAATTTTCCCTTTCTAATTATAGATTTCTTAGGACCTTTCACGTTCCATGGTGCACCAACAAGGCATCATAAACTGGAGGAGTCACAGACCCCTCAGGCGCTGTGGTAAGATTGGGTGTGATCTTGGAAGCATGCTACTGAATGCTTGGAACTTAGAAGCATCTGCTGGGCAGATTGTGAATCATCTGAGTTGTTCACCCTGCTCCCTCTCTAGTGATCCATCCTCCCTGTCACATGCCTTGCACTGGTTTTTGGTATTCTTTTGAATAAATACTGAGGGCCCATTCAAACTTGGTATGTATTATTTTCCTACATCCTATGCAGGGAGAACTAGAAAGACAAAGCCATGGAGACAGTGGCAGTCCCCACGCATTTCTGCTGCCTCCAGTGGAAAACCCAGGCAATACATATGGAGTTCTGTTGGCCCAGTTTGGTGTTTGGGTGATTGGCAGATAAAAATAGTTTGTCTGTGTTTTTATGAATCAGGGATTTAGTGGCAGAAGAAAATGTTTTTAATATGAGAATATTTTGGGTTTCAGTCTCCATCTATGTCTGTTAATTGGAAAGGAAGATACAGTTTTAGTTTCGATGGCTGTTTTAAATAAAAGTATGGATCAGACATTGGAATGATTTGTGGTGACTATCTTTGAATTGTCATGTAGGATTGGAGACTTGTAAATCTAAGTCTGAGTTTGTCTTCATATCATTTGTTTTATTTGGCTACATTCGTTGGTACTCGAGAATTTGGTGTTCTTCAATAAGATGTGTTATAGAGTAGTGATTAAAAGTATGGTCTTTTAGGCTAGGCTACTTAGATTTGAATCTCATCTCTGCCATTCATCTCTATAACTTTGAGCGAATTGTACAACCTTTCTGCTTCAAAGGTCTCATCTGTAAAATGGGAATAATCATGGTACCTACTTCATAGGTTTGTCATGAGAATTAAATGAGAATACATGTAAAAATTTTAGAATAGTGCCTAAAAATCTTAGAATGGCAGGAACTCAAGAAATGTCCTTATTAGCTTTTCCAGAAAAGATGTGATGTGCACAACTGCACTCCAGCCTGGGCGATGGAGCTAGACTCTGTCTCCAAAAAAAAAAAAAAAAAATGTGATGTGAGGAGCACCATTTTATCTCAGAGCTTTGTTGAGGAATACATTATTTTTAATCTGATACAGCTGAAGTAATTGAATTATAGCTATATGCCAGGTATTCATAGGGTGTAGGGAATTCAGTCATGATTAGGACTGACATAGTTCTTGCCCTCATGGAGCTTATAGTTTAATGGGGACTGCAGGTAGGAAAAGACAGATACTGATCACATTTATACAAATTTAAGTGTAATTTTAATTAATGCTGTGAAGTGCAGGTTTTTTTTTTTCTTTCTTTTTTTAAAATTATACTCAAGTTCTGAGATACATGTGCAGAATGAGCAGGTTTGTTACATAGGTATACATGTGCCATGATGGTTTGATACACCCATTAACCCATCATCTACATTAGGTATTTCTCCTAATGCTATCCCTCCCCTTGCCCCCATCCCCCAACAGGCCCCCTTGTGTGTGATGTTCCCCTCACTGTGCCCATATGTTCTCATTGTTCGACTCCCACTTATGAGTGAGAACATGTGGTGTTTGGTTTTCTGTTCCTGTGTTAGTTTGCTGAGAATGATGGTTTCCAGCTTCATCCATGTCCCTGCAAAGGACATGAACTCATTCTTTTTTATGGCTGCATAGTATTCCATGTGTATATGTGCCACATTTTCTTTATCCAGCCTAACATTGATAGGCATTTGGGTTGGTTCCAAGTCTTTGCTATTATGAATAGTGCTGCAATAAACATATGTGCGCATGTATCTTTATAGTGCAATGATTTATAATCCTTTGGGTATATACCCAGTAGTGGGATTGCTGGGTCAAATGGTATTTCTAGTTCTAGATCCTTGAGGAATCACCACACTGTCTTCCACAATGGTTGAACTAATTTATACTTCCACCAACAGTGTAAAAGCATTTCTATTTCTCCGTATCCTCTCCAGCATCAGTCGTTTCCTGACTTTTTAGTGATTGCCATTCTAACTGGTGTGAGATGGTTGCATTTCTCTAATGACCAGTGATGATGAGCTTTTTTTATATGTCTGTTGGCCACATAAATGTCTTCTTTTGAAAAGTATCTGTTCATGTCCTTCGCCCACTTTTTGATTTTTTTTTTTTCTTGTAAATTTAAATTCCTTGTAGATTCTGGATGTTAGCCCTTTGTCAGATGGATAGATTGCAGAAATTTTCTCCCATTCGGTAGGTTGCCTGTTCACTTTGATGATAGTTTCTTTTGCTGTGCAGAAGCTCTTTAGTTTAATTGAATCTCATTTGTCAATTTTAGCTTTTGTTGCAATTGCTTTTCGTGTTTTAGTCATAAAGTCTTTGCCCATACCTATGTCCTGAATGGTATTGCCTAGGTTTTCTTCTAGGATTTTTATGGGTTTAGGTCTTACATATAAACCTTTAATTCATCTTGAGTTAATTTTTGTATAAGGTGTAAGGAAGGGGTCCAGTTTTAGTTTTCTACATATGGCTAGCCAGTTTTCCCAGCACCACTTGTTAAATAGGGAATCCTTTCCCCATTGCTTGTTTTTGTCAGGTTTGTCAAAGACCAGATGGTTGTAGATGTGTGATGTTATTTCTGAGACCTGTATTCTGTCCCATTGGTCTATATATCTGTGTTGGTACCAGTAGCATGCTGTTTTCATTACTGTAGGCTTGTAGTATGGCTTGAAGTCAGGTAGCATGATGCCTCCAGCTTTGTTCTTTTTTCTTAGGATTATCTTGGCTATACAGGCTGTTTGTTGGTTCCATATGAAATTTAAAATAGTTTTTTTCTAATTCTGTGGAGAGAGTCATTGGTAGCTTGATGGGAATAGCATTGAATCTGTAAATTACTTTGGGCAGTATGACCATTTTCACGATATTGATTCTTCCTATCCATGAGCACAGAATATTTTTCCATTTGTGTCCTCTCTTTCCTTGAGCAGTCATTTGTAGTTCTCCTTGAAGAGGTCCTTCAGATCCCTTGTAAGTTGTATTCCTAGCTACTTTATTCTCTTTGTAGCAGTTGTGAATGGGAGTTTGCTCATGATTTGGTGCTCTATTATTGGTGTATAATAATGCTTGTGATTTTTGCACATTAATTTTGTATCCTGAGACTTTGCTGAAGTTGCTTATCAACTTAAGGAGATTTTGGGCTGAGACGATGGGGTTTTCTAAATATACAATCATGTCATCTGCAAACAGAGATATTTTGACTTCCTCTCTTCCTGTTTGAATACCCTTTATTTCTTTCACTTGCCTGATTGCCCTGGCCAGAACTTCCAATACTGTGTTGAATAGGAGTGGTGAGAAGAGGGCATCCTTGTCTTGTGCCGATTTTCAAAGTAAATGCTTCCAGTTTTTGCCCATTCAGTATGATGTTGGCTGTGGGTTTGTCATAAATAGCTCTTACTATTTTGAGATATGTTCCAATACCTAGTTTATTGAGTGTTTTTAGCATGAAGCGGTGTTGAATTTTGTCGAAGGCCTTTTCTGCATCTATTGAGATAATCATATGGTTTTTGTCATTAGTTCTGTTTATGTGATGGATTACGTTTATTGATTTGCGTGTATTGAACCAGCCTGGCATCCCAGGGATGAAGCCAACTTATCGTGGTGGATAAGCTTTTTGATGTGCTGCTGGATTCAGTTTGCTAGTATTTTATTGAGGATTTTTGCATTGATGTTCATCAGGGATGTTGGCCTGAAGTTTTCTTTTTTTGTTGTGTCTCTGCCAGGTTTTGGTATCAGGATGATGCTGGCCTCATAAAATGAGTTAGGGAGGAGTCTGTCTTTTTCTATTGTTTAGAATACTTTCAGAAGGAATGGTACCGCTCCTCTTTGTACCTCTGGTAGAATTCGGCTGTGAATCCATCTGGTCCTGGACTTTTTTTGGTTGATAGGCTATTAATTACTGGCTCAATTTCAGAACTTGTTATTGGTCTATTCAGGGATTTGACTTCTTCCTGGTTTAGTCCTGGGAGGGTGTATGTGTTCAGGAATTTATCCATTTCTTCTAGATTTTCTAGTTTATTTGTGTAGAGATGTTTATAGTATTCTCTGATGGTAGTTTGTATTTCAGTGGGATCAGTGGTGATCTCCCCTTTATCATTTTTTTGTTGTGTTTATTTGATTCTTCTCTCTTTTCTTCTTTATTATTCTGTCTTGTGGTCTATTTTGTTAATGTTTTCAAAAAACCAGCTCCTGGACTCATCGATTTTTTCGAATGGTTTTTCATGTCTCTATCTCCTTCAGTTCTGCTCTGATCTTAGTTATTTCTTGTCTTCTGCTAACTTTTGAATTAGTCTGCACTTGCTTCTCTAGTTCGTTTAATTGTGATGTTAGGGTGTCGATTTTAAACCTTTCCCGCTTTCTCTTGTGGGCATTTAGTGCTATAAATTTCCTTCTGAAGACTGCTTTAGTTGTATGCCAGAGATTCTGGTACATTGTGTCTTTGTTCTCATTGGTTTCAAAGAACTTATTTATTTTTGCCTTTATTTCATTATTTACCCAGTAGTCATTCAGGAGCAGGTTGTTCAGTTTCCATGTAGTTGTGTGGTTTTGAGTGAGTTTCTTTTTTTTTTTTTTTGAGATGGAGTCTCGCTCTGTCACCCAGGCTGGAGTGCAGTGGTGCGATCTCAGCTCACTGCAAGCTCCGCCTCCCGGGTTCATGCCATTCTCCTGCCTCAGCCTCCCAAGTAGCTGGGACTACAGGCGCCTGCCTCCACGCCCGGCTAATTTTTTGTATTTTTAGTAGAGATGGGGTTTCACCGTGTTAGCCAAGATGGTCTCAATCTCCTGACCTCATGATCCGCCCACCTTGGACTCCCAAAGTGCTGGGATTACAGGCATGAGCCACCACACCCAGCCTTGAGTGAGTTTCTTAATGCTGAATTCTAATTTGATTGC